CATTATACCCAACTTTATTTCTTCAGTGGCAGGTCAATCACTAAAATCCAGTTCACTGAGTGTGAGTCTGCACGCAGCAAGCCAGTCTCTGCCTCAGGGCCCCTTTGTCTGCACATCCTTCCGCTGGGCCTCTCCGCACAGCCGTCCCACACAGCCAACCTCTGGGCCTCTCTGTCTGCACAGCCATTCCACACAGCTATCCTCTGGGCCTGTGTCCTCTGCTCTGCTCTCCTGCAGCCTTGCAGCCATGCCACCATGTCACACCCAGAGCACTGGGCAGAGCTCTTTATATAGAGTCAACAGCCATGTATTGCCCACAGGTGTGCAGTGAGCTAGTCAACCAGGGCCAGGTAAGAATCCTGGCCACAGGAACTCTCATTTTACCCACAAGCCCCAGGAAAGTTCACTATGGATTCGGTGACACCGAGAAATGACAATGGAAACTTCTTGAGGTAAAAGGGTTTACCCAGCTTTATTCTCATGGTGGCAGGTTGAGCATTAGAATCATGTCTGCATCCAGCAGTCTGCAGGTCCATAATCCATCTCAGAACCCGCCTTTGGGAAGAGTTGTTTATATAGTGCTCAGTCAAAAATAGCTTATTGCCAACAGGTATGGAAGCATTAGCTTAGCAGAAAGCCAATTACAGCATCAAGTAGTTTAGGGTCAGGTGAGGATCCTGGCCATAGAAACTTCTATCTTCCTACACTAAGCTCTTACCTCTGCTGAACTTGAGAGTCTACATTAGCAAAAAGTGAAAAATAAGGTAAAGTTGTCAACTGCCTAGCTGAGAGATGAATATATGACACAGTATACATACAGGGCTCCTCAGCAAAGACTGGGAGACTTACTGGAATCAAGGACTTACTGGAGACTTCAGGTAGTTAAGGAAATCCCTGTATCTCCATAGAAAACAAAGTAGATGATAGGTCACCAGATTATTTCTAGGAACTGGGGGAAAGGGAGAATGACTACTGACAGATTTCTTTTGGGGCGATGAAAATGTTCTGGAATTCAACCTTGTGAACATGCTAAAAACCACTGAACTATATACTTTAAAAGGGTGAATTTTATGGTATGTAAACTATATCTCAATAAAAAAGTAAAATGTGTGGGGAAGTTGGGGTTCCTACGGCCAGGATCCTCACTGAATTTATACCACCTGATGATGTAACTGGCCTGTTGCTTAGCCTACCGCTTCCACCCCTTTAGGCAATAAGCTATCATTGCGTTATACAGAGCTCGGCCCAGTGCTCTGCATGGAGGCAGAGACGCTAGTGCTCGACCTACCACCAGGAGAACAAGCCGGGTAATAAACCCTTTCACCCCAAAGAACGTCTGTTGTCATTTTCTTTGGGTCACACTGAATCTATAGTGAACTTGCCAGGGGCTGAAACAACAACATGCAATTACAAAGAAATGAACTGCAAAGAAATGAAAACTTACTCAGAAAAAAACATGCACAAATGCCCAGAGCAGCTTTATTCATAATAGCTAAAAACTAGAAACAACCAATATGCTGAGCAAACAGCATTACATCCATACCATGATATGTAATTCAGCAACAAAAAAGAACAAACTATTGATACATGCAACAACCTGAATGATCTCAAGGAAATGCTGAACGAAAAAAATACATCTTTCATCTTCACTACCTTGAGGTGAGATTTTTAAAAAAATTAAATGCACACAATAAATACTTTAAAATACCGCTTGGGTTTAGCACAACCATAGGTCACACCATGGCCATGACATCAAAAAATAAGAAATTAATAAAATTATATTAAAACCATTAAAGTTGTAATAAAAGTCATTAAAATTATATATCCTATTATTTCAAATAACTTAAAATTATTTTCATTGAAAAAATTTTTTTGAATAAACAGACTCACAGTTCCACAAGGTTTGGGAGCTTCTGAGCAAGGTTTTCTGGCTGAAAATTAAAAACTCAGAATTAAATTTTATTTTTGAAAAATGTACAAACATTTTTAATTAGCTTAAAACAAAGTACAATCTTCCTGAGGGGTGAAAATTTAGAGAAAATAATGTGAAAATAATAAATCAGCAGGTCTGGAGCAGGATTGGGTTTTTATGTTTACATAGCCTACACTACAATTTAAATTATGAACTCGGATAATTAAAATTAACATCTCTGAATACAGAAAACCTTGCATTGCACAATCATGGAAGACATTTAAATGTTCTTAACAGACACAGACAGAGGGAAGAATGACAAGTGACAATGGAGCCAGAGATTGCAGTGATGCAGCTAAGGACCATGAAGGATCACTGGCAGCGCCCAGAAGCTAGGAGAAAGGAACAGATTCTCCCTACCCTGCCCACACCTTGATTTTGAACCTCCGGCCTACAGAACTGCGAAAGATTAAATGTGAGTTGTTTGAAGCCACCTAGCCTGTGTAACTTGTTAAAGCAGCCCTAAGAAACTAATACCATAACTGTCTTGCCAATGGCTTTCAGACCCGGGCAAGTTTGCTATGGATTCAATGTGACCAAAAAAACTGACAGCAAAACGTTCTTTGGGGTGAAAGGGTTTATAACCCGACTTGTTCTCCCAGTGGTAGGTCAAGCACTAGCATCTCTCCCGCCGCCTCTTTAGTCTTAATGGCTTGAACTGCTGCATTGGTTTCAGTTGTTGCCATAGCTCCAATAAGATCCTATTTGGCTTCCCTTCTAATTTCCTTCCATCTACTCCTGTCAGTCCAGGTGGCAGGTCAGTCACTAAAATCCCTTTCACTCAGAGCGAGTCTGCATGCAGCAAGCTGGTCTCTGCCTCTGGGCCCCTCTGTCTGCACAGCCATCACACAGCCGTCCTCTGGGCCTCTCTGCACAGCAGTCCCACACAGCCATCCTCTGGGCCTCTCTGCACAGCTGTCCCACACAGCCGTCCTCTGGGCCTCTCTGCCTGCACAGCTGTCCTCTGGGCCTCTCTGTCTGCACAGCTGTCC